TGAATGAAATAGGGTAAAATCCTCAGTTGTTTTAATTTGTACTTCTCTTACAATTAGATATTTGGAGCAGGTTTTCATGAGGTCATTTATAGTTTGCAAATCTTCTTTTAAAAACTGTTCACACATCTCCAAAGGCCTCATGATGGAAAATGCTGTCCACATCCAAAGAAAGAACTATGGAGTTTGAATACAGATCGAAGCAAACTGTTCGCTCTTTTTTTTTTCTTCTGTTGTGTTTTCTTTCCTCTTTCTGGTGGTTCCTCCTATTGGTTCTAATTCTTACTTACAACATCACTAATGTGAAAATATGCTTAATAGGAATGTATATGTATAGCCTATATCAGATTGTGTGCCATCTTGGGAGGGAGGGGGAGAAAAATTTAGAACTCAAGAGCTTATGGAAGTGATTGTTGATAAATCAAAATAAGTTAATAAAAAAACTATTCATATCTTTTGACCATTTATGTCCTGGAGAATGGCTCTTGGTCTTAGATGTGTCAATTCCACATATGTTTTGGCTATATTAGACTTTAATCAGTGATATTGATGCAAATATTTTCCCCCATTCTACCATTTCTCTTTGAATATTTTCTTCATTGATTCATTCCCTGTGTATCTAAAGAAGTATCTTTAGACAACTCTTTTTCCATTCTTTTTGTAATTGTCTATTTTTGTATCTTTAGAATTTCATTCTTGAGAGCTTCTCATCTTCTAGATTGATTTTCCCGGTAGAATTCTAGGCTGTGGGAATTTATGTATACTTCCCCATATCTGCAGTATGTGTCAGCCTATATTTTCCTCTCTTTTTAGGTCACAAATTCTAAGATGGCATGATAACTCATATCCAGGGTTCCCATTATTTCCACTGTAGCAACCAACTTTGCTGGTAAGAATTAGATCCATACTACAAGTTGGATTAAGATATGTAGGTGGCAAGCTTATCAAATTTGGAGATGACACAAAGCTGAAATGGACAGCTATCATATAGGATGGTGCAGAATCCAAAAAGACTTCTGCAAGCTAGAATATTATATTAAAATCTGAGAAATGAAAACTTAGTTCAAAGAATCAACTTGAAAAGTAAAAGGTGGGGAAGGCATGGCTAGAAAAAAATTTGTCTCCAAAATTTCTGTAGGTTTTGGTGCACTACAAACTCAGAATGAGTCCAGTGTGTGATATGGCCACCAAAGAAACTAATGTGATCTTAGGCTTCATTAAGATAGACAATCATTAACCAAGCTTGTCCCCAAAGAAGAGATGAGAAAATATACCTTCTTCCCTTCTTTGCAGATGTGGGGGGACTCCAGGTGCCATACTAGGTTGATGCATTGGTTAGTTTTATTGATTTTTCTCTCTTCCCCTCCCCCCCTTTTTTATTCTTTGTTACAAAAGATGGTTCACTGGGTAGAAGGGGAGGGATATGTTTTGAAAGGAAAGTAATATAAAAACAAAAGAAATCCTTTAAAAAAATTTTTTTACAGTAAGTGTTAATATTAAAATCTAGGGAGGGGATCATTCCATTGTACTGTGCTCTGGTCAGATGATGTTTGAAGTACTGTGGTCATTTCTGAGTGTGGTATTTTAGGAAGGACAATGAATGATAAGCTTGGAAGTGTCACCAGAATGGTGAAGGGCATTGAGTTTGTGTTTTATGAGGATCAATTACAGACACTGAGGATGTTTATCCTTAGGGGGCACATGATTGCTGTCTTCAAGTATTTGAAGAGATGTCATGTGGAAGGATTAGGCCTATTCTGCTTGGTCCTAAAGGGCAGAATTAGGATGGATGTATGGGAGTTACAAAGAAGTGAATTTGAGTCTGAGGGAGTTCCAATTACCAGATATCCCAGAGTGGAATGGGCTACCTTAGAAAGGGGTCCTTCCTCACCAGAGGTCTTCAAGCAAAACCTGGGACAACACATATATTGTCGATGGATTCTTGTGCAGCATAGTAGGGACTAACAATAATAATACTAATGATAATAATAACCATAATGTATATAGTCCTTTAAGGTTTGAAAAGTACTTTACATATATTATCTTACTTGATCTTTACAACTTGGGGGGAGGTAGGTGTTATTATTATTCTCTCTTTACAGATGAAAAAACTGAAGAGGAGATAAGATTAGATGGTCTCTGAATGCCCTTCCAACCCTGAAGTTCTTGGAAATCCCTCTTGTTATTCCTTTCTTTTTCTTTTTCTTTTTTTTTAGGCAATTGGGGTTAGGTGACTTGCCCAGGGTCACACAGCTAGTACGTGTCAAGTGTCTGGTCTGAGGCTGGATTTGAACTCAGGTCCTCCTGACTTCAGGGCTGGTGCTCTATACACCATGCCACCTAGATGCCCTTCCTTTCATCTTTTAAAGAAGAAATTTCATTAAGACATGTCAGGGAACTATTAGTTTCTTTGCTTTGGGCAGAGAGACAGCCCTATGCCTGCCTAATTGCAGTACCCCAGCACTGACATAACTCCATGATGGGTATGGGAAATCTCATTCCTTAACTCATTCTCTATTTCCAGGTGTTCTCCAGAACATGCCAAAGATCACATGAATTCTATTTCTGTCTCTGATACTGTTCCCTTAAACGTTCTCCACTATGATTACCCCTCTAGCTCCTGTATTTCCTCATGGGTATCATTTCTTAAAATATAGTGATACTTGGCAACCCCACCACCTTACTCCTTTTTATTTACCACTTCCCCACCTATTTTTGAGTAAGATATACATTTCCAGAGCCTTATCCTCAGCCTCAGTCTTAGGGACACCTGTCAAATAAAAATTACTTCCTCGCACTGGGATCTCGTTCTCTCTCTCTCTCTCTCTCTCTCTCCCCCTCTCCCTCTCCCTCTCCCCCTCCCCCTCCCCCTCCCCCCCCTCTGTGTGTGTGTGTGTGTGTGTGTGTGTGTGTGTGTGTCTGTCTCTTTATTCATGATACTATCACAAGGTCACAAGGGGAGCTATTAACAGATGGCAATGGTGACAGGATCTGTGACTTCTTTAGTACAAGAACTCTTGGGTAAGGAAATTCTGTTTACCAATGAAGGCTGGCATCTTGGCATCTTCAAGAGTTGTGTAGGGCAGCAAGAAATCAAGCTCAAGCTCACACAGCTAATGTGAGTCAGGGGCAGGACCCAAACCTGGGTCTTAGTGGTTCCGAGGTGGCTACTCATTAACTATCACTTCCTATAAATGCTGCTATTTTTAATGTCAGAAAACCTGACTCTTCAGAGAATGTGAAGATTCAGTTTCAGGGGACAGAAAGGGGTTGTAATTTTTATACGTTGTCTTAGGTACACCAGGTTTTTCCTGCCATTTCAGCATGGCCAATACCACTGTTATGTCTCTCGACTATAATTTGTTGAGCCTTCTTTGGACAGAATGGGTCTCTTTACCAATTTAATCATGTCCAGCAATCATGTTAAACTCAAATAGAAATGAGGGCCACTGATCTGTCCACAAGGATCCCTGTGGGCTACATATTGACTTAGTTTTTAAAATGTAACATTATCTGTTTCATTGTGTTTTCATTTATTTTATAAAACATTTCCCAATTACATTTTGATCTAGTTTGGACAGCGCTTAACAGTGTCATGGGCTGCATGAGGGGTCTTATGTTTGACATCTCTAGTGTACAGCATATTAAGAGGTCAGTAGGAGCAGGAAATCTCATCCTTATCTCACAGATGAGGAAACTGAGGCCCAGACAGGTTGGTTGACATGACCAATGTCAAATTGAAAGTCAGCAGAAGGTCTCCTGATTCCTAATCCATTGCTTCATTCTCACCAAACAATACTTTCTTTTTTTCTCCACTGCAGAGAAAATGGGGAGAATTTCTAGAAGCAGGACTGCTTCTCGACTTAGTTTCTGAGACTCAGGACAGCCAAAGAGGAGAGACCTTTACTCTGAAGGAACAGTGAGCACCCCATCTCTCCAAGATAACAAATGGTGGTGTTTTAAAATAAATTGAGTACACTGATGTACTTGGATTTAGGGAGGAGATGGCTTCTCAGATTATAGTGGTACGTGCCTGAGGAGTCAGGCAGCCTGCTACGACCCTGATAAAGAGAGATTGGCTATCTATTTAACTAGCAGTTGTGGAGTGGGGAAAGCCAGATATAATTTATTTCTTCTATCCTCAGAGGCAGGAGAAATACCACTGGGAAAGTACCAGCCTTCCCTCTTCTAACTCAGGAGATGGTTTCCTTCTTCCACAGGGGCAGATGGTGACAATTCTCATTCCACTTCTTATACTTCTATGGCAAGAAGGCCCACTGTCAGAAGACCCTGGTTCTTACCTCTGCTCTGCCATCATGGATTTGCTCCTTGGGGTGTTTCTTTGGGACAAATCATTTAACTCCTGAGTGCTAGCTTCTGACTCCCAGATTTCCAGCTCCTAAAAAGCAGGGTTGATAGCTCTATATACAGGGTATGACAGTTAGTAACTTTAGGAGAGCTCTAAATATATCACATCAACCTAAAAATCTCATCAGAGAGAAATGGTGATGTCATAGTGCTAACATGGGCACATTTCACTAATACTGGGCCTTGCAGAAATAAATTTGGGGCTCAGGATATTTATCTTGCTGGGCACAGTGTACCTCCTGCTTCAACTAGATCATAAGCCCTGGGAGGATAAAGATCTTGTCTCACACTTCTTGGAATCCCTACTGTCCTTTGAACATTAGGTTAACAACAAATAAAGAGCATTATGCTTGGAGTCCGAAGACTTGAGTTCGAGTCTCAACCTTGACATTTTTCTACTGTGTGACTGTAGACAAGTCACTAAACTTTTCTGGATATTTTTCCTCATTTGTAAAATGGGGAAAACAGTTCTTCCTTGCTATCTGTGTTAGCAGTGCAGGTTCTCACTGAATGACTGGTTTATGTATGAGATTTTATTGTACTGAATGATGCTGGTTTTGTCTCTTTCCTACTTGGAATAAAAGTCCCCTCTATCCAGACACAAGTAATCACCCACAACCTAAATAAATGTCCTCTTTATTTTACCAAATATAATTTATCAGTTAAGTTGACATTTGTCAATTCAGTTATAGCAACTATAAATAATTCTCTTAAGACACAATTCTGGAACTTTTTAAGAATACAAGAGTAAACCAACATTGCTCCTTGCAGCCAGGTCTAAAGTACATGCACAGTTGGGGAAAGAAATCTTGGACGCGTTTGCATTTTCAGTGATATTCTCACTCCACAGTCCCTCTTTCTTCTCCTCTTACAGGAGGCCACATACCCAGGACCTGAGGGGGAGGACGGTCCATTTGCTGGCCCAAACAGGACACTGTGGATGAGGGAAAGATGAGTTGGACAAGTTAGCCAAACTGGGAAGCTAGATGAGGGATGACCTCTGGAAGGGTTTTGTTTTGCTGTTTGTGTAGAGAAGATAGGCGAAGATAGTAGGAGTGAGGGGGTCAGGCAGGGGAAGCAGAGAAGACAAGTCCAAGCAGTAATAAGTTTGCTTTGCTGGACATAGCCCAGGGTAAATAGAGGACCACGGAAGTCATTTCCAACTAGGATTACGATTCTAGAATGAGTGGTTGGGAATAAAGGGGGAGGGGGCTTGCTCCAGAAAATTCAGTGGAAGGTCCCAGTGATGAAAGTGGTATCAATAAGAGATGGGGCTCCTGTCTAAGCAGCCCCTAAGAGGACAATCCAGGAAATGGGGATAGGAGAAGTTGGGAGTGGAGATGAGACTGGTCTCCTTTACCCACCATCCTCTTGGCTAAGAAGGAAGATTTTGTGGGGAGGCCCTAGAGCAAAGAAGCTGAGCAACACCTGTATCCAAATGCCCAGATCCATACATGCATGAGTACATGTGTTCAGTTTTCCCTGGATTCCTGATCTGGTCCAGAGCAATACACGGTGGAGATGCTGAGAACCCCAGTTTCCTTTCAGAGAAAAACAGCAGCAACTGGGTGAGGTCTAGATTACCAATTCTGGATTCTCTTGGGTGCCCAGTGGGCAGGATCCTAGGATCCTAGGAGTCGAGGGATAGGAGTGTGAGGAAGGGCAATTAGGCTCTTGCTGGCTGCAGTAGGCATCCACCTGGGAGAAAAGCCAAGAACCCTGATGGAGGAAGCAGGTTGAGCACCTTGGATGTGATTAGGGCTGGGAAGAGGTAGGAGCCAAAACACAGAAAAAAAGGGAAGACTAAGTTAAGTCTGGTGAAACTCAGGTTCAAGAAGCCCTCTCTCACTGCCAAGTTCAAAGGCAGGTTCTGCCTATGAGACCAAAGGAAGTGGTGAGGCAAGGCTTTAGGTAGCAAAGAGATGATGATGTGGGGAAAAGATAATCAGCTTCCTGGGGGGCTGGTCTGGGAGGAGACTTCTTCCAGGCTTTGTACATAGTGAATACTCAATAAATATTTGTTGGATAAATGAATAAATGAATGAAGGAATGCTCTGAGACAGAAGCTGAGGAGAAGGAAAGTGATGGTGGGGAGTGGGGGGGAGAGGGGAAGTGCCGCTTAGGAAACCACAGAGCCTTAGTTGACTCCACGTGATTTTAAGCACAGAGAGGGAAGTAGAACTTTCTCCCTGAAACTCTCCAACCATAGAACCAGCTCCTGACCCAGCCCCTGGGCTCACTCAGGGTGCAGGGTGTGCTCAAACATGGACAAGGAGTGGGTAGAAGGGACAGGGGAGAGAGAGGAAGAGACATGCAGCCTGTTGTTTGAGCCCTGAGAGGATGTGGGTATCAGTATTTGAATGACTGGAAGAATTTGTGGCTGGCAAAGGGTGACCAAGCCACTATCTGCTTCTTCCAGGGAGTGTTAGGCAATTAGAGAACAGTGGGATAGCTTATTGGTGGTACCTAACAGTTATGGGGTGAGGGACATACCATAATGGGGACAGTTAACCCACTTCACTCTCTTTGGGGGGGGCAGATTTCAGAAGCAGAAAAGAGGGCTAAGGACCAGTTGTCCCTCTGCTCAGCTCCTTTCTTATGATCCATTTTCAAGGAAATAAGGGAATGATTTTATTATCCCCACCAGTCAACCAAAAAAGCCAGAGCCCACCCACATAGGGCTCCCCTATTAGTCAAACATGTAGGTTACTGAGGTTGGACTCCCTGTTCCTATTTTCCAGAAAGATGTCCCCTGTCCGGCTTGGAGGCACCCACCATGAAATTGCACTTGGTGATTGTCTCAAAATTGACTCATACTGTTTAACTCAATCTAGCCTTCCAAAATGCTCACTGTACAAACTCGGCTCAACATATTAAAAATTCCCATTGAAAATAATGAGAATTCAATATCAAAGTGAAGTCCTAGAAAGGAGGATGGAGAGAAAACAAAAAGAAATAAAATCAAATACAAGGCAATGAGGGTGGAAGGGTGGAAGCTAGTCCCCGACATCTGTGTCTCGGTCCCCGATAAGCCAGAGAACGTGGAAGCTGAGGGCCAGGAGGCCAGTGCCTAGCAGGTCACCCAAGGCTGTCAAGTATGGGATGGAGAAGTTGTCTGGGTCCAGACCCCGGCCCCACATCCAGTGCACCATCCAGTCTGCGATATATAAGAGGATCAGCACCTGGGAAGAGAAAGGAGATCCAGCTGCATGAAACCTTTCACTTGAGGTGGAGGGAACAAAGATCACCCCATCTGGCCTGAAATTGGAGGGCTTAGGTGGCCAGTTCTCAGAGCATCAAAATTTTTAGCTACAGACCATCTTGTCCAATCCTTTGCCTCTCCACAATCCTTGCTCCACCCCCACTCGCTTTTCCCAACCCTACAAATACCACCCCGGACAGAAGGGTATCAACACCAATCTAGAACTAGCCTAAAACAGAAATGTCATGGGCATCTTATGTTAAAAAGGGCCAAGTTTTTATTTAAGGTGCTGCGGTGTAACAGCTGTTTAGGTCACTGTCCTGAAGTAAGATGGAAGAGAGATCTTAGTACTGGGACCCAGATGATATGGAAGAAAATAACAAGTGTCAATCAATCAACATGAATCTTACTTAAATAATCACCCTCACAACCACCCCTCCTCTTCCCAACATACAAACATGTCCAAATCTCCCCCATTCTTAGAAAATTCTCAGTAGATACTATCATTCCCTCAAACTATCATCCTTTGTCCTTCCTCAGCCAAACTCTTAGGAAAAAAAAGTCTACACCTGTTGCCTACACATTCTCACCTCTCACTCACTTCTCAGCCCTTTGCAGTCTGGCTCCCAACCTCATCCCTCAACTGAAACAGCTCTCTCCAACATTACTCAACGATTCCTTAATTGCCAAATCTACTGGCCCCTTGTCAGTCCTCCTCTTTCTTGGCTTCTCTGCAGCCTCTGACACTGCTGACCACTTTCTTCTAGAGACTGTCTCCTCTCTGGGTCCACACAACACGAGTCTCTACTTGCTCTCCTCCTGTCTGGCCACTCTCTTCAGTCTCCTTTGCTGGATCAAAATGCCCCCTGAATGTTGGTGTGCTTGAAGGTTTGGTCCTGGGCCCTCTTCTCTTCTCTCTCTACATGCTCTTATCATTTTCTCATGCATACAAGGATCATTACTACATAAATTATTCCCAGATTTATATATCCTGAAGATTTATGTAGCTGTCTCCTAAGCTCTAGGCCTGCATCACCAATTAGGTATTGGATGTTATGAACTGGACGTTCCATAGGCATCTAAAATCAACCTGTCCAAAACTGAACTCAACATCTTTCTATCCAAACATCATCATCCTTCCTGCTAAGCAGGTTCATAACTTTGGTATTCTCACCCCACACATCCAATCAGCTGCCAAATCTTGTCATTTCTACTTCTACAATTACCTTTTTCCCCCAAAACTTTCTAGGGAACAGATTTAATTTTTATCTATTTCAGGCCTGCTTACATCACAAAGTAAATCAGCAGCATTCTGAGGCAAATTAGGATAAATAAGTAACTTCTTTCACAGTAGAAGGAGGGGTGGAGAAAAGGGGAATCATACAAGAGAGAAAAGGGAGGACTCTGGGGGAGTATTTGCCATGCAGCTGACAGGGTTTGCTTGTTACTAGAATGAGAAGACATTCCTGTTCAAGGTCAAGAGAGAAGGGGAGGGGACTGACTACATTAGAAATTATGAAAGAGGACCCTTCAGACAAAACCTCAGAATTCAGTAACAATAATAACAATAGTGAACATTTATATAGCACTGTGCTAAGCACTTTACAATTACTATCTTATTTGATCCTCACAACAACCCTGGGAGGTAGGTGCTATTATTATCACAAAACAAAATTCTGGCCATCCTTCAAGGTCTAGTTCAGATGTTACCCACTTCAAGGGCCCTTCCCTGATGACCTCACTGAAAAAATCCCTCCTTATTTAGTGCTCTGATAATGGAATTTAATCCACTTACAGGACACTTCTAACACACTGCCTTGTATTGTAGATATCTGTATTTGTTTCTTAGCTCTTCCATTGGATTATAAATAACCAGAAAGTACAAGCTGTGTCTCAGGCAAATGAAAATTATCTCTTTCTCCTCAAATTTCTCACATTTTGCCTAAAGCTTTGAAACAAAATTATTAGTGTACCTTCCTTTATTTCTAGCATTCACCACAGTGACTTGCACATTGTTGATGATTAATAAATATCTGTAGAATTGAGTAAGATATCTTTGCTTAACTGAATCACTTGTGAGCACTTGCTATTTCACATTCATCATATTTGCAAGTTTCTGTCTAGAATGAATTTGGTGATGCTTACTAAGCTGGGAGCTCTGACTGAAGGCTTTTTCACATTCCTAACGCTTATTCGTTCTCTCCTCAATGAGAGTTCTGTGATGTCTAGAATATTTCTGAAGTCGCTCCCTGTGAGTCTGAATCTTCCAAAGAGTCTACTTTTTCATCCTAATGCTTGTCCTCAGTTAATACCCTGGGATGTGAGCAGGAGCCTCTTGAGGTTTCTTTCTTCTCAGCTCCCTGCAAATCTAGGACCTATAGCTCTTTCCCTTGCTCCAGCTGGGAGATCAGGTTCAGAGGCTAGAAAACCCAGAGACATGTTTGTTTTTCAGTTGTTTAGTCTGACTCTTCATGACCTCATTTTAGGATTTTCTTAGCAAAGATACTGGAGTGGCTTGTCATTTTCTTCTCCAGATAATTTCACAGATGAGGAAACTGAGGCAAACAGGGTTAAGTGACTTGCCCAGGGACACACAGCTAGTAAGCATCTGAGGCTGGATTTGAACTTGGGAAGATAGGTCTTTCTGATTCCAAGCCAGTACTCTATCTACTGCAACATCTACTTGCCTTGGGAGTGCAAGAATTGTTTCACTTTGGTTGTATCCATAGCTCTGAGCACATGGCAGGTGCCTAATTAATGCTTGCTGAACGTTAAGTACTTTCTTTTCCTGTCCAGAGCTCATATCCAATGCAAGGCCCAATTGGGGCACTCTGCCTCCATACTTACACTTGGGGTAGCCAATGGTGGTGGGACATTTCTCCAAGACTCACTTGCAGTTCTATAAGGAGTCTGATAAAAACTATGATTCTTATGGGACTCCTGGTCCTGGGACTACAGGGATTCTAGGGATTTTTCATGGCCTTATGCACTTAAGGGAAAGTCCATTCAACAAACTATGTATAAATCACTGTGCCAGGAACTGATGATACAAAGAGATACCACAAAGACCCTGCTTTTCAAGGACCTTACAATCTCCTAAGGGAAAATGTGTGCATAAAAAACTATGCTATAAGGGACAATGAAATAAATGCAAAGGAGAAATCGAGGCAAAGTGCTATGAGAAATCTGAGGAGGGAGAGAAAACTTTGATAATTACTAGTTATGTAACCTTGGATAAGGCACCTTCCATTCTGGGCCTCCATTTCCTCCTCAGTAAAATTGTGATCCTGGGCAATAGAGGAAGGGTAGCTTGGTGGATAGAGTACTGGACTTGGAATCAGGGAAGACTCAATGGGATTCTAGGCTCATAGATTCAGAGCTGGAAGGGACCTCACAGAAGAAGAAACTGAGGGGGCGGGGCCAAGATGGCAGAGGGAAAGCAATGACTGTCTTGACCTCTCTCCTAAAGCCCTCCAAATACCTAAAAAAATGGCTCTAAACAAATTCTAAAGCAGCAGAACCCACAAAAAGACAGAGTGAAACAAATTTCCAGCCAAAGACAGCCTGGCTGGTTGACTAGAAAGGTATATCCCACTGGGCAGGGAGAGGAGCACAGTGTGGCTTGGGCACGTAGGCCACAGCGACCCTGGAGCAGGCCTCAGAGGACTGAATCTCGGGCAGCTCTGGCAGTTTCCAGACTTCTCAACCCAGGAACGCCAAAGACAACATGGAAAGTCAGTGGCAAAAGTCTGTGACTATGGTGAGAGAGGAGCTAGGTCTCAGCCAAGTCTCCAGCACGGCCTGGGGCAGCGACTGTTTCCTGAGCTTCCTGAGCTTCTGGCCCACAGACTGAGGGGGAATCGAGTGGCTGATCAGAGGGAGATTGCAAGGATCTCTTTGCCAGTGCTGAGGCAGGAATCTCTTGCTCTACCGGTGCTTGGATCTGGATCACAGTTCTGAGGGGCGGTCCTGGGGCTAGGAGGAACGCTGGTGTGGTGAAGCTTGTTGTGGTGGTGGAGAGAAAACACCTCGCCCCTTATCATACCACCTTGGAAGAACTGAAAGTTTACACGTCCCTAGAAGTACCTCTGAAAACAGTTGTACAAACCCCCAAAGCTTGGGACAGTACATTCTCCGCATTGGAAGCAGACTTCTACCTTAACAAAGAGTTTAAAACTCAAGTAATTGGCCGAGATCATGAGTAAGCAGCGCAAAAAGAGTCAGACTATATTATCTTACTTTGGTGACAAAGAAGATCAAAACATACAACCAGAAGAAGACAACAAAGCCAAAGCTCCTACATCCAAAGCCTCCAAGAAAAATATGAATCAGTCCCAGGCCTTGGAAGAGCTCAAAAGGGATTTTGAGAAGCAAGTAAGAGAAACAGAGGAAAAACTGAGAGTGATACAAGAAAATCATGAAAAACAAGTTAACAGCTTGCTAAAGGAGACCCAAAAAAATACTGAAGAAAATAACACCTTAAAAAATAGCCTAACCCAAATGGCAAAAAGAGGTCCAAAAAGCCAATGAGGAGAAGAATGCCCTAAAAAGCAAAATTGGCCAAATGGAAAAGGAAGTCCAAAAGCTTACTGAAGAAAGTACTTCCTTAAAAATTAGAATAGAGCAATTGGAAGCTAGCGACTTTAGGAGAAATCAAGACACTGTAAAACAAATCCAAAAGAATGAAAAATTAGAAAACGATGTGAAATATCTCATTGGAAAAACAACTGACCTGGAAAATAGAACCAGGAGAGAGAATTTAAAAATTATTGGACTATCTGAAAGCCATGATCAAAAAAAGAGCCTAGACATCATCTTTCAAGAAATTATCAAGGAAAATTGTCCTGATATTTTAGAACCAGAGGGCAAAATAGAAACTGAAAGAATCCACCAATCTCCTCCTGAAAGAGATCCCCAAAGGAAAACTCCTAGGAATATTGTAGTCAAATTCCAGAGTTCCCAGGTCAAGGAGAAAATATTACAAGCAGCCAGAAAGAAACAATTCAAGTATTGTGGAAACACAATCAGGCTAACACAAGATTTAGCTGCTTCTACATTAAGGGACCACAGGGCATGGAATACAATATTCTGGAGGGCAAAGGAGATAGGATTACAACCAAGAATCACCTACCCAGCAAAACTGAATATAATCCTTCAGGGGAAAAAATGGTCATTCAATGAAATAGGGGACTTTCAAGCATTCTTGATGAAAAGACCAGAGTTGAATAGAAAATTTGATTTTCAAATACAAGACTCAAGTGGAACATGAAGAGGTAAACAGGAAAGAGAAAATCATAAGAGACTTATTAAGGTTGAACTGTTTACATTCCTGCATAGAAAGATGATATTTGTAACTCATGAGACCTTTGTCAGTATTAGGATAGTTGGAGGGGAAAAAATTATATGTACGTATATATAGATATAGATAGATAGATAGAGGGCACAGGGTGAGTTGAAAAAGAAGGGGCCATATCTGGAGAATAAAATTAAGGGATGAGAGAGGATTATACTAGGAGAAGGAGAAAGGGAGAGACAGAATGGGGTAAATTATCCCACAAAAAACAAACAAACCAGAAAAGAAAAGGCTCTTACAGTAGAGGGGAAACAGGGGAAGGTGAGAGGGAATGAGTGAATCTTATTCTCATAGGATTTGACTTAAGGAGAGAATAACATACACACTCAATTGGGTATGGAAATCTGTCTTACCCTACAGGAAAATGGGGGGGAAGGGGACAAGAGAGTAGGGGAATGATAGAGATGAGGGCAGATTGGGAAAGGGAGTAATCAGAAGCAAATACTTCTGAGAAGGGACAGGGTCAAAAAAAAGAATAGAATAAATGGGTGGGCGGGATAGGATTAAGGGAAATAGAGTTAGTTTTTCACAGCATATCTACTATGGAAATGTTTTGCATAACTGCACATGTATAGCCTATATTTAGTTGCTTGCCTTATCAATGAGGGTGGATGGGGAGGGAGGAAGGGAGAAAATTTGGAACCCACAGTTTTAAAAACGCATGTTTAAAAAAAATGTTTTCACATGCAACTGGGAAATAAGAAATATAGGAAATGGGGTACAGAAATCCATCCTGTCCTACAGGAAAATTGAAGGGGAAGGGGGGAGAGATAGAAGGGAAGGCAGACTAGGGGAAGGGGTATTCAGAATGCATGCCATCTTGGGGTGGGGGGAGGGGCAGGATGGGGTGAAAATTTGGAACTCAAAGTCTTGTGGTAGTAAATGTTGAAAACAAAAAAATAAATAAAAATCACCCAAAAAAAAAAAAAAAAAGAAGAAACTGAAGCTAAGAGAGATGGAGTGACTAGTCTGAGGTCACAGTAGTTTTAAGTGGCAGATCTCGGATTCCAAACCAGGGCCTTTCTTCTGGCGCCATGTTACCTGCCTTGGGATCTCAAGAGCTCCTGCCTGCTCTAGTTTCATGTTCTGTGATTGACTAAGGGAAGCTTATCTGTCATTACTTCAAATACTTTGTTTCTAGTACTCAAAGGTCAATAACCAGGATGGGTAGGAGACCACAGCAGGGAAGCCAGAGACCAACAACCAATTATATGTGCCAGGGAGAATGACAGAGAGGGAACAAGCAATTCTCCAGACTGGAGATGGAACAAGGAATAGGTAACATGAGGGACAGGTGTTTAACGGTAGAAGAGGGTAGAAGAAACACAGGGGAGAGACATAGATACCTTTTCTCTCAAATGTGGTTGATGATGGAATTGCCATTCCATGATCACTTTTCATTGATGTAAATTCTGAACATTTTTATTTTCATTATCAAATGAGACAATATGTAAAGTGCATTGCAAACCCTAAGAAGATAAACAAATGATGTTGCTGTTCAGTTGTTTCAGTTGTGTCTGACTCTTTATGACCCCATTTGGGGTTTTCTTGGCAGAGATAATGGAGTAATTCGCTATTTCCTTCTCCGGCTCATCTGACAGATGAAAAAACTGAGGCAAACAGGGTTAAGTGACTTGCCCAGGGTCACACAGCTAGTAAGTGTTTGAGGTCACATCTGAACTCACAAAGATGAGCTTTCCTTATTCCAGGCCCTGCACTCTACCTACTGTGCTACCTAGATGCCCTATATAAATGTGAGCTATTATTATTTTTTCTCTTTCTCTCTATAGAGAAAGGCAGCTGGAGTTAAGAGAACCTGGGTTCAAATCCCTCATTATTCCCTATTTATCTAGGCAAACCATTTCACTGTTCGGAGCCTGAGTTTCCTCATCTGTAAAACAAGGGGGCAGGACTTTAGTAAACTGCAAGGCTCCTTCCTAAATCTCTTATCCTTACTTAAATCCCTCTTGCTGTAATTCATAAGGACCCAGACTTGTCATTTACGTGACTGCCCTCTAGGGGACAGAGGCCCTTCTCAGGGCGGCCTCTCGCATTCCTTTCCTCAGTGAGCTCCCTGGGAGAGAGGGAGGGAATATTCTCACTATCTGCAGTAGGAGAATTACCATTTGCAAAGCTGCTCCTACTCAGGGTCATCAACATCTGATAAGTCCAAGCTTCCTTCCCTCATGCTGTCAGCTGTGGGCTCAGGAAATGAGAACTTATTTTTAACATTTGCTGGAGCAAAATAGGATTAGGAAGTGAAGAGAGCTACAAAATTATGGCTGATTACTGCAAAAGCAAGTTATATTCGGGTTACGTGTTGCTCTGGATGATTTCAACGTGTGACCTTGGTCAAGTCCTTTCCCCTCCTCTGCATCTCAGTTTCCTTCTCTATAAAATCAGGAGGTGGGCTAGATGGTCTTGAAGGTTGCTTCTGTGCACAAATCCTATGACTGGCGTTCCTGCCTCCCCTCCCTTTCTGTACCTAAGTGACAAGGTTTATATCCCCTGTGTATTCTGGACTTTGCCTACCATTTGGATTCTCGAAGTAGTTAAGCATCAGTATAAGAACTCAGTGAGTTTTAAACATCTGGGTTCAAAATAAAGTCACTAGGGAGAGATTTACTTTGTAAATATTGTGGTACGAAAATTTCATCCCCAGGGTCCTCAGATAAAGGAACTGGAAGTCAGAGATGCTACCTGTTTTAAGGCAGGCATGGCCCCCTGACCCCTGACCATGGAAGCCAGGAGTCCCCCTCACTCCAGAGAGAAGTCCTGCTGCCCTGCACAGCCCTCTGTGCTGTCCCTGGCCAACCACTTGTAACCTCACACCCTTCTTGGCAGCTGCAGAGGAAACCCATATAAAGAGAGTGGTTGAAAAGCTGGAGGACTGTGTCCTGGGGAAGGGAATGCAGCTGTTCCCACATTCCAGCCGGGGACTTGTGTCAGCTCAAGAACACAGCGCCAGTAACCAGGAAGGAACCTTCAGGGAGGATAAGGCATCAAGGGCCACTGGGAATTAGAACCCTCTCCCCACTCCCCACTCCCCTTTGTTGCTGTTGCTCAGTTATTTGGTCATGTCCAACTCTGCACGACCCCATGGATGGGGTTTTCTTGGCTAAGATTCTGGAGTGGTTTGCCATTTCCTTTTCCACTGTGTCCCCATTTTACAGTCAAGGAACTGAACCAAATATGGGTTAAGTGACTTGCCCAGGACCACACAGCTAGTAAGTGTCTGACGCCAGGTTTGAACTCAGGTCTTCTCTATCCTCTGTACCACCTAGCTGCCCAACTCCCTAATGAGCACTCCCTAGTGACTCCCTAGTCAGTCTTACCAAGATGGTCCCAATAGGGCCATGGGCTCATTCTCCCAGCCCAGGTCAAAGGAAGTGGAGAATGAAAAAAAAAATTCTAGGAGTTGGGATACTTGGGTTATTTTTATGTCTCTTTTTTCCATCTCTCACACAGTGCCTCAGTGTCTGCCATTTGGGGTAGATGTGTATGTGTCTGCGTGTCTACGTATAGGTGTGTGAATGTCTGTGTGTGTACCTATGTGTGACGTGTAGGCCTTCTGGGGAGTAGTACAGGAAGCACAGTCTAGAAGGGCAAAGCATGGTTCTTACCTGAGCTCTTTGGCCTCTCTAACGTTGGAAAAACAGTCCCAAAGAAGGCACAAGATCAGCAGGGTAGGCCTGCCCGTTGCCCCACCCTGCAAGCTCCCCTCCCCATCTCCCCCAGCAGCCCCGTACCTGGAGCAGTGCAGCCGTCATGTAGAAGATGATGAAGATAAGGGTCAGGGTGGTGTGCCCGCCCTGCATGCAGCTGATGGTGTAGAGGAACACCAGGTGTCCAGGCACCACAAGGAGGAAAAGGACCCGGGCTGAGCGTGAATTCACATCTGGGGAAGAAGGGGGAAGACAAAGCTGGACACCCAAGAAACCTTTCCTCCACAAAAGAAGGGGGAAATCCCATTCCCCTTGCCTCAACAGCATCAGCTAACTAGCTCTCTAACCCAGAGATACTTAGCACCAGTTTTATCTACACTCCATCATCAGGTCTTCAGGTATCCCAGGGCAGTGAGAGGAATCTAAACTGCCACAACATACATTTCCTCCTGACTGGTGCCTCCAGGGACCTACTTCCCCAAGGGAGGTTCACAGCTGCCAGCAATAAACCAGGTCTCTCAATACTAAAGACTGTCCTTATCATAAGAAAAATCTTTCCAACACAGAGAAAAGAATAAAAATGGAATGGGTTGCTTTTGGGGTGGTGAGTTCCCTGTCACTGGAAGGATGGTCTTCAAGCAGGCTGGATGACAATTTGTTGGGGATACAAGTCAATGGAATTTGTTGTTTGGGAAGGGGCTGGATTCACTGAGCTCTGAACTGAACTCGAAGTCTATGAATCAATCATCTGTCACTGTGTCTCAAGTCTGGGAAATACCCAAGAATTCTAGAGAAGTGAGCTTTACCGGGACTGAAGAAAGTGGTACAAGGACTAGGGCAGCGCCGGGGTGCTGGCTCTGAGCTTTCCCCTGGCATCCCGTTCATGTGCAGGTAGGTGGAGATGCGGCTGGCTTGGACCGCCACCAGATTGCCTCCGACACCTGCAGAGACAGACAGAGGTCTGGGGGTGAGGGAGGCAAAGGAACACGATTCCCCAATTTCTTATCATCCACTACCATGGACATCCTTCACATTGGGCCTGTGGCAGCACCCTAAGCTAACCCTTGGAGAATAAAACACTCAGAAGTCCTCATAAAAGGAAACAGGAACCTCGGCCCTCACTTTGAGGAAGACTTCAAGGCTGATCCATCCCCCAAGTCATCTCCCCCTCTTCCACATCTTTGGACACACATCATGTCTGCATGCTCATGTGTCCTTGTGCAGACAGGTAGGGTTCCAAAGTATGCAGACACATTTGCAGATTTCAAACACCTTTCTTCCCTATTAAGTGCTGTTTATCATCTTAAGACAAGTGAAAAGGTTCTGTAAGATCTCAGAGATGTGCCTCTGATCTTCTGTAGCTTGAGAGAAGTATAAAAATAGAAATAAACTGAAAAAATCGTGTCCTAAGAGGCACCAGGCACAGAGCAAGGCCCTATGTCTATGCCCCAATCAGGAGTCAACAAATTGCCCTATTACCAAGAGCTCTGAATGGTTTTTACATTATTAAATTCAATAAAAAAATTTTTTTTCTAATGTAAACACCATTTTTAGCTCAAGGGACATAGGAAGGTGGGAAGCTGGCTTAAGGGCCATAGTTTGCTGACCCTTAGCCCAAGACCATGCAAATAGGCCTCAGAATAATCTCAGAGTATCCAGTCTGAGATCTAGAACTGAGAACCAAGGATCTCTTCCAGGAAACGAACCTCAATAAGTTTATCTAAATCACTGTTTTTTAATCCTTTCCCTCAAAGCATTTGATGCTAGGAGCTCACCATTAATCACTGGAGTGAAGACAGCCATGCCAGCAAAGTTGGGGTCAGAGACAGTCTTGTCCAGGATGAGGCCCCCTACACTGTGGGGATGTAAGAGATGAGCAGACATACAGATAAATTTGAGACACCAGCTTCTGCCTCTAGGAGATACTTCCCTGATTTCAGAAAAGAACAGACCAGGTGGTTTCCTAGGGTCCCTCATTTTTTTAGTTGCTACCTTCCCACCCCCCACCCCAGTCCAGGACATAGGATCATATTTAGGTGCTTCTGGTCAGTCTACTATGGATTGAGTTTCACCATGGCACCCGAAGAACAACTGAGCCATACTTATGCTAGGCTAGCCACTTTTTATATCCCCCACCCTTCCCCACTACTCCCTTCACCAGCTTTAAGGGAGAAAGCACTCCCCAAAAAGTACCAACTACTACTACTAACCTAAGTCTCTTGTCTATCCCCACCTTCTAGGGCCGAAGCAGGAAGATTCTGGTAGGACCATGGACTTCGGGGAGGGTTCTCCTTGGAACACACACCCTACCTGCTGATGGCCATGGCAATGACGACTGGCTCCCATCCCGAGTACAACACCTCCCGAGTGGCTGGGCTCCTCTTGGCTAGTACCACCCACACAGGCAGCAGAGCCACAAAGAAGACACATACCAGAGGGTTGATATACGGCCGGCCCTCTGGGAAAAGGCAGAAAGAGAGTCGTGAGTACTGTCACTCCTGGCCCCACAGCCATCTTCTGAAGAACCCAACCCCCAACCCCTCCTTCATCCCAGCCTCACCCAGTGACCCACACCCTTTGTCCCGCTAGGAAGAATGGGGGTTCTGTAGCTAATGCTCTTCATCTTCTCCGAGACTCAGAATGAGAGCAGTTTTTGGGAGAGGGACCAAAGGCATTTCAGAAGAATGATGAATTATGCCGGGTGGCTTGGTTTTATTTTTTAATTTGAATTCAAATGTCATCACTTCTTCAAATGAATAATAATGATGACAATAATAATAATACTCTACGTTTATTTGGTCTTTTATACTGTTCAATGCACTTTCAAGTAACTTAGCTCCTTTTGACTCCTATAATCATTATCATCATGGCTCACTTTTATTTACCATTAAGGTTTACATACATTATCTTATTTGATCAAGACCTCTGTGAAGCAGGCAGTATTAACCTCATTTTACAAATAAGAAAGCCCTGATGGGGGAGGGGGGAGGGCTAGGGGCCTTGGCCAGGATCATTCAGATCTCTGGGCTCCCACGTCCTACATACTCCCTCAAGATCCTGCTCCTCCCCTTCATCTAAGAACATCTTCTTTTGGTTCCTCCGTTCAGGACAGTGATAAACCTCCTTATTCTATCCCTGCTCAGAGTCAACTTTAAATCTTCCTAAGCCTGCAGCAAGATCATAGATTTAGGCACTTGAAGGGGGCTTAGGGGTCCTCTAGTCCAACTAGATTCTAGTTTCCTCTAGTTTCCAATGAGGAAACTGAGAGCTGTCTAAAATTGCAGGTCATTAAGTAACAGAGCCAGGGTTCAAATCCAGGTCCTCTCCCTACGAATCCCATGTTTTCTCAGTGCACCACCTTCCCACTGACACTTGGATCAGTATTAAGGTCTTTCTAGTTATCTTGAACATTACAGATTACTCCTCTCCAAGAACTCCAGCCATACAGGCCTTCTATACATGCCACACTGCATGTCACCTTTGCCCTGGCTATGGTCCCCTATGTCTGAAATGCTTTCCTTCCTTAACTCTGCCTTCTATAATCTCTGGTTTTCTTTAAGGCTCAGCTCAAGTGTTACTGTCTGCAAGAGGCCATTCCTGGGTCCCTTCACTGCTAGGGCCTTTCCCTCATTGCTCCCTTCCCCTGACCTCCCCCCACCACCCCAGGTTGTCTTGTATCTCTTTTGCATATTCCTACACAGATGTGTATCATCTCCTCTGTTTGAATGTAAACTCCTTAAGTAAAGGGATTCTCTTCCTTTATCTTTGTCTTCCCAGGGTCTAGAATAGACCACGTGCCAGGCATGGCCCATGATAGGTACTTGAAAATAATGCTCATGACTGTTTGGTTGATTCTTTAGGTTTATGGACATTAAAAACTGCTTTCAAATTGAGCTTTTGTAAACAGAGGAAAACTATGTGCACATTTCTAGAACCCCTGGCAAGGTTCCCATTCCTAGCCCAGGGAACTTAGTCAACTGGCACATTGGCCACATGTTTAGACACAGCCTTGGTGCTTCATAATGTTAACCCTGACTCCTTCTTATTTGCCAATAATTCCCTGAGAGCAAAGTCTCACCCAGCTCCAGGTACAGCCCCCAGCTGATGCCTGACAGTAGTGCCAACGTGATGAGGTCTCCCAGACTGGCTGCAATGGGTGTGGCCACATTGTCAGGGTTGATCCCAATCTTCCTGGAGCCAATGATGACTCCAATCATAATCATGCCTGGTGGGGGGAGAAGAGGAGTAACAGAGTCAGGCTGGCATACGGGCATGGTGAGGGTTCTAATAAATACCCCTGGTTGGCTTCTTACCTAGAACCAGGGAAGCAATGAAGGCAGTGGACACACTGCTGGCACATAGCAAAATGGCGTGGCTGATGCTGAAGTGACCATCAGGGATCCAGCCGAAGATGACGGCTGCAATGGAGGCCAGGAAGCCCACGACCGTGGCCTGCACCTGGGGCAAGTGGTGAAGCATGAGAAAGACTCGGGAGCGTGGGTGAGTCCACAAAGAAGAAAAACAGTTTCTCTTAGTGTTTACCTACTATCTCTTCAAAGGATCTCAAACTTCTTGTCTCCCAACAGTCTGAGGAGCTAGGATGGTGTTAGCGCCCCACTTTTACTGGCTCCCTGAATCATGCCTCATAGTACTCTTCTATTTCTTTTCTTCCTTGCTCAAGCCTCCAACCATCTTCCATTCCTACCTCCCCCTTTTTGCAGAACATTTAGCCTCTTACTTCATGAGATTTAGGTAATTCGGTGTAAACACCGCCTGTCCCCTCTTCCATTCCTTTCCCACCCTCTCTTCCTTCTTTCCCTCTATTTACAGAAGCACCCCTACCCTTCAGCATAGCTTACTTCTCTACCTGTGCCCAAGATACCATTCCCTCTTGCTTCCTCCAGAACCTTGCTTCAGAAATCATCCCTGGCTCTGTTCCTTGCTACAGGCCCACAGAATTCACTCCTTCCTCACCTCCACCTCATAGAATCCCTCACTTTCTCCACAACTTAGCACAAGCACCACCTTCTCCATGAGGTCCTTCCTGAGCTCTCCAATTACTAGAGTCCTCCTTGACTACCCTGGATATAATGACCTTGTATTTATTCTTGATATACATACATATGCATAGATGTACATTTATGAATAGATACATGTGTATATATACACACATACATAATATATGTGTGTGTGTGTGTGTGTGTGTGTGTGTGTGTGTGTGTAAAAAGAAAAGAGACATCAGGCTGTAGTGGATAGAGGGACGGCCTTAAAGCCAGAAAGACCCAAGTTCTAGGTCTGCCCCTGACACAAACCAGTTGGGTGACTCTGGGAAAGTCACTGACTGCTCTAAGCAGCTTTCTAAGATGGGGGCTCTTCACCTAGGGATTAAATGACCTCTTTACTTCAATATAACTGGTGTTCTGTCCAATCCAATGGATTTTATCTTACGTATTTAAAAATGTTATTCTGAGAAGGAATCCATGGCGTACAACAAAATGTTAAAATCCCCTGTAAGACTAAGTTGCAGAGAAGGTGCCAACCTAGATTAGTAGAGGGGGTTTCTTCATGTCGGAGTTCTCTATAATCTAGGTCCAGGCCCTATCCCGGTACTTAAATGTATGCATGTTGTCTTCTGAGAGAACATAAACTCAAGTCATTTTTTGGTTGCTATATCCGTAGCTCAATGACTGGCATATTGCAAGTGCTCAAGAAATGAGTGTCGATTGATTAGCTCCTTCTCATTTTACAAATATGCCCAGGACTCCTCGATCTTAAAAAAACAAAAGCTGTCCATCGGTCTTTCCACCCTAAGCCAGTGATCGTTCCATCTCTCTCCTCCCCTTCCCTGCTAAACCTCTCAAAAAGGTTGTCTGTGCGGTAAGCTCCTAAGAGCATGGCCACGGTGTATACTTCTTCTGCATCCTATATAATATTTAAGAACATTTCTGAGCATAGAGTCAGTACTCAATAAATTTTTATTAAAATACATTTTCCTCCCTTTCAAAAAAAAAAGTTGTCTCTACCTGATATCTCAACTTCCTCACCACCTACTTTCTCCTCACCCCCCCAGCAATCTGGCTTCTGCACCTGCTTTATCAGAACTCCTCTCTCAAATGCCATTAATGACTGACTTTACCAAATTCAATGGCCCTTTCCAAGTCTTTATCCTCCTTGACTTCTTGGAAACAGCTGATGCTGTTGCTGATGCAATATTCTCTTGCCTCTTCCAACCTCTTTGACCCCTCCTCTGTCTTTGTTCCCTTCCCAGCCCCTTAGGTAGGTGTCCTCCAAGGGTCCATCCTTAACTTTTTTCTCTCTATCTTTCCCATTTCCTGTATTCCCACGGCTTCATGGGAATGAAGATGCCTGCCAAATCCATATCCAGCTCCAAACCTGTAACTCCAAGCTGGCACCTCAAACCCAGCATGTCCAAGACAAAATTTACCATTTTTCCCCCTAAACTGCTCCTGCCTCCACCATTTCTGTCATTGTTACTACCATTCACCCAGTCTCCCATGTTTGAAACTTTTGGAGTTATTCTTCACTACCGCTCTCCCTCATCTCTCACAGCCAATCACTTCTATGTCCCAACACCTGTGGATTCCACTTCTGCAAAACCTCTTGTAACCATCCCCTTCCCTCCATTCTCTCAACTGCTTCCCAGTACAGGAGACTCATTGCCACTCACCCTGGCTTTTGTCACAGCCTTCTAACAGGTCTTGCCACCTCTAGCTCTCTATCCCCATACTTCATTTTGTCCATTCTTCATAAGGCCACCAGAATAATTTTCATTATGCATAAACCTGGTTATATCACTCTTCTGCTCCCCAGTGACTAAAGCTAAAACTCCTCTGTGTGGGATTTAAGGTCCTTCAACACGTGGTACCTCCCTATCTTTCCAATCTTATTCTCACTGCTCACCCATGCACATTCCATGCTCTAGCCAAATAGGCCTGCTCTCTGGGCAAGAGAACAGCTTACATTTTCCTGACTGTGCTTGTGTTCATGCTGTGCCCTGTGGCTGAATGTTCCTTCTTCTCCCTCTTACCTGCTGAATTACTTCCTAGCCTTTAGACCTTAACTGCTGCTTCCTCCTCAAGAAAGTGTCCCATGATCCCCTGCTGGTACCAATGGCTCATTCATGTAATATTTTACTTGGTACCTCTTTAATGGACTTCTGTAAATTTTCTTTTCACTATAGTTTTCACTATAGTCTGTGTTACAACCTCCCTAATGAGACTGAAAGCTTCATGAGGGTAGGGGATGGATCTCTGCTGAACTCTGGTTATCTCCAAATACAGTAGTGCTCTGCAAACAGTAGGTGCTTAGTAAAGGTTGAACAGACTGAATTAAATTAGTTCCTCAGGAGGAGGGGCTATGTCTTTAAAAAGAAAATTGGTCCCTTGCTGCCAACTAACACAGACCTCCTCACTTAGCAGATGCCTAAGACATGGCATTGAACTTCGGTTGTGGTCTTCTGTCTCCTATGTTAATTTGGGGTTTGACCTAGATGATCACTAAAGTTCCTTCTGGTCTTAGGTCCTTGACTAATAGGATCTCTCTACTGGGATGGAGTTGAGACCCACTGAGGGGAAGTTGGGCAGACCACTAAGGTGTGTGGACTCCCAGCCCCATATCTACAAGGCTTTGTGTGGCTCTGGGATGACAGAAGCAGAGGGTGTCTGAGCATTCCCAATTCCTCTTCTGTAGCTCCTTTATGTTATCAAACTGTCCTTCTATCCTCAGGATGGCCCTGGGGAACAGAAGCCCCTGGGGAAGATGTGGTGATCCTTCAGGTTCTTCTGTTTTGGCCGTTTTCCTGAGTAACTTGGTTACCACTCAGTGCTGTTTTGGGTGGAAGCCAGCTCAGCGAGGCAATGGAAGTCACCTCAGGAACCACGTTCTGCTCTAGAGATGCTAGATTATATCTAAGTCATCTTGTTCTGGGCCGAGGCGCTCCCTCCCAAAGGGCTCAGCACTTCCCTAGGGATTTCTTCCTCTCTGCTTAGGTCTGCCTGCTCCCACCACCCTTCTCTCCCTACTGTCCTCTATTCACACTCACCTGGATAAGGGCCATGTTTCCAGTGATCATCTTCCAAAGCTCCTTTGGTGTGTCCATGTGCCCAATGTTGGCCTGGCAGGGCAAAGGGAAGAAGGTTCAAAGTGAGAGATAGAGAACTGTCATCTAGGATAGGATGGGAAGTCAGACTAACAAGCCCCCTAAAGACCCTTCCAACTCCAAGTGTCTGTAAGAAGCCCTTCAGTTCCTGGTCAAAGGGCATGGGACAGAAGCCTACAAGCTCTGCCACAGTTTCATGAGTGTCGGGGAGAGGCACAGGATCTTTCTTTGATAAAGAGAACCTGGGCCTGGAGGAGGTAGAATTGTGCAAAAAGGAGGCCTGGGTTTGAGTCTCAGGTCCTTTCCCCTACCCATTTAATACTCTATGACCCTGGCCAAGGAACTTCTTCTCTCTGAACCTCTATAAACTGAGGACAATAATACCTGAATTACTTATTTCACAGGGTTGTTATAAGGCCCAAATAAGACAACAGATCTAAAATGTTTTATAAGTCAACAAATATTTATTAAACACCTACAATGTGCCAGGTACTGTGCTACAATGGTAAATTATAATATCTATCATATATAAATGTAAGCTATATACATATAGGTTATTATTTTCAATATTATTATAGCAAAAAGTACTTAGGGTCTTAAGGATAATAACTGGGTTATTACTTACTTATTACTTATTATTACTTATCACACCTACTTCACTGGGTTGTTATAAGGTCCAAATGAAACACGGATCTAAAAATGTTAATATTTATTAAACACCTACAATGTGCTGGTACTGTGGTAAATGTGGTAAAAATTATTACATTATTACATCTACAATGTGCCAGGTACTATGCTATAATGCTAAATTATTGCATTATAATATATGTTACATATAAATGGCAAGCTATATAAATATAGGCTATTATTGTCAATATTATTATAGCAAAAAGTGCTTTGGTCTTAAGGCTAATAACTGAACTACCTACTTCACAGGATTCTTATGAGGCTCAAATAAGATAACAGATTTAAAATGCTCGTAAGTGAAGTCAACAAATATTTATTAAGCACCCACAATATGCTAGGTACCATGTTAAGCTCTATGTAATATGAATGGTAAATTATATTATAATATCTATTATATTATAATGTTTACATATAATCTATAATATAATATCTATTATAGTATAAAATCAATGGCAAACTATGTAACTGTAGGCTATTTTTTCAATGTTATAGCTAAAGTGCTTAGGGTCTTAAGGTGAAGGAATTTCCATTGTCCTCCTACCTCTGTAGCCTCAGTGAGCAGAGATGAGATGACTCACCTTCCTTTGAGCTCCAGCTTTGTGTTCCCAGACTAGGTCAGGATGGCTTCAATATCTGGCTTTGAAGTTTACCCCCCTCCCCACCCTTGATAAGAGAAGGTTAGGCATCCAGAGCCCAGCAGGAGGTGAGTTCCCACTGCACTGGCAGAGTGCCTAATAAGCAGAGGTAACATTGGGCCAGAAGCGGAGATGGGCTCTGGGCTAGATTTAGGATAGGTCAACCTAGCTTCTCTCCTTTTTATGCAGATGGAACACGGCCCCTTTGGTGAGCTAGGAGATGGTGCCAGTCACTCCTGTCATCTACCACCCCTCACTATGAACTTCAACGCTCTGGTTCCTGGACCCTGAATCCATTCCAGGGGTTTTCTGTCCCAGAACCCTCAATGCAGATTGAGTTGGTAGCCCCCTCCCCTCAGTCCATTCTTGTTCCCCTGTCTCTGTGCTCAATAAACAGTCAGAAGAACTGATTCGGGGAAGAGGAGATGGGGGCTGGGGGTGGGGCTGGCCGGTACTGGCTCTACTCCAGTCCCAGCTGCAGAGTTGGGCTGGAGATCAGAGAAGGCCCCCATCTGCGCAGGGCAGGAGGGGAGGGGAAGGAATCAGCACGGTGCCATCCAGTCAAAGCTGCACAAACAGTCATGAGGTGGCCCCAGAGCGTGGGGAGGGGGACAGACGGGAGCAGAATTTGACCAGGCTGCCTGAAGACAGGGCCTGGGAGATGCTTGGAAGCAGGGAGCTCCCAACAGGAAAGACATCCAACTTGAAATCTCTTTCCACCTCTTCTATCTTCTTTCCCAGAGCACCAGTCTGGACTGAACAGCCACTCTCTAGTCTTTGATCCTGGATCAGGGCCTTCCTGAAGCCTTAAATAGAATCAGGTCCTCCCATGGATGCTTCCACAGCCCAACCCTTGGATACTCACAGCTGTTGACAGTCTTGATGCTAGTGTCATTTCCAGGTTCCCCTTGAGCCCCAGGAGTGCAGGGACCAGGATAAAGACCTCGGTTACATCCTTGAAGACTTCCCAGTGCTACAAGACAGGAAGAAGGTCCAGGTATAAGAGCAGGGCAGAAGATAAGGATGGAGGAAATCAGCATGGGAGTGAGGACCTTTCCCCCACAATCCCAACACCAAACTAAGTCAGTGGCACGCCTCCCATCCCCACAACTACAAAGACAAAAATGAACAATCAGTTCTTAAGCTCAAAGGAGTTCTTTACTGGGTAGCTATGACACTGGATAAGTAAACACAATGTACAAAAGAAAGGTATCTGAAATAATTTCAAGAGGAAGAAGGCACAAACACCAGGGAGACTTTGGAAAGGCATCCAGATGAAAGACGTATTTCAGTCACGACTTTCTGAAGAAAGATGGGAATTCCATGAGGCAGAGGTGAGGGGGTAGTGTAGATACATGCAATGTGGGACCCCTTATGCAAAGACATAGTGGCTAGAATTGCAGTTTATTATATGGGGCACAGCAAAATAGTGGAAATAGAGAGTATGTGAAAGGGAAAGATATGCCAGCTGCAAGTCCCTGTTCCACACAGGCCCCACTAATTTTTCCAAGGCACAGATTTGACCATGTCTCCCCTGCTTAGAAACCCTGGGGTGACTCAATCTGTTGTTGCCTTTTGTTTAAAACAGAATCTCCTCAGCTCAGCATCTAAAGTCTTCCACAATCTGGTTCCAGCCTACCTTTCCTGTCTTTTGTGGTACTTTCCTTTACACTCTAGGCTCCAGCCAAATCAGCTCATTAGCTGCTCTATGAACTCAACCGCCCAACTCCTACTTCTGCATATGTTCTCAGGTCATCTCCCAAGCCTGGTGTGTATACCCTCCTCTGCCTGACTCTTGGAATCTTTAACTTCCTTCAAGATTCATCTCAGAATATGTCTCCTCCAAGATACCTTTCCTGCCCTCTCCTGCCCAGCTCCCTAAATCGACTTATGTGTGCACAGGTTGTTCCCCTCTCATAACCCAGTAGAATGAAAACTCCCTGAGGGCAGGGCCTGTGTCATGCCTTACACATAGTAGGTGCATCATAAATGTCTGTGGAATTTGTTCAGGCTGAAGTCTTTATCTGGATCCCCTTCAACCTGCCCATTCAACCCCCACCCCCCCACCCCGCCCACTGCCCTAATTTGCCTTTAGTTCCATTTCTCCCCAGCGCTGTCCCTGCACATTATTGTTTCAGCTGTTCTGTACTGGGCTCTTTAGGTCTGGCGCTGAGCAGATTAGAAGCTTTGTTTGGTTTTTTTCTCCAAAGCTTTGCTGCTCTGTTGCAGAAACACCCCTTCAGGGCCAGCTGCCTTCCCTCTACCCATTTAAGGCCTCAGGACCACCAAGTACCAGTCTTCAAAGAGTCTTCCTTTCCCACCTCCTTCTCCTCTAATTAGGAAAGGCAGTATGATATAGGAGAAAGAACACTGGATTTGGGAATGAAAAAACCTAAGTTCATGGTATTTTTTTTTTTTTTGCTAGGCAATCAGGGTTAAGTGACTTGCCCAAGGTCACACAGCTAGTTAAGTGTCAAGGGTCTGAGGCTGGATTTGAACTCAGGTCCTCCTGATTCCAAGGCCAGAACTCTATGCACTGTGCCACCTAGCTGCCCCTAAACCTAGGTTCATGGGATGAGAAGCTTTAAGAGTCAATCCTTGCACATTACTGGTGAACAGTCCAGAAGTGACCTGGCCGAGGCTGTTGCCATTACTCATGTTATCCCTGGATTGCTAGATTCCCTCTGACCCGCCCTCCCCTTCATTCCTGATCCTCTTACCTATTTCCCTCCAGAGGACAGGGTGTGGATTAGAGATGTGTGGAAGCCACCGGATTCCAGGGATGGAGGTAGCTAGCTGCTTTAGGAAGCTACCTGAGCTTGGACTAAAACTGAATCACTTGCACATTAGCTTGAAGCCAAAGCTCCCTTGTCTGTGGTGAGGAATGGTGTCTCTGGTGTCTAGGGGAAAACTCTGGTTTCCTTATTTAGTATCTCAAATGGCAGGCCCTGGGGTTGAGGGTTGGGCTGGACAGTCAGGACGAGTAACCAAGGTACAAAGGAAAACATACCAGGAATTCTAGACTTAGCTTGACTGTGCTCCCCTTTGTACCTTTTTCCTTTCTTTATCTTAATTTCATCATCTGTAAAAGGTGGAGGATAGGATTAGGCAGCATTCTTGGGCCTCTTACCAATATGGTTGGGTTCCATTGACTTCTATATACCTCCCTTCCTCCTGGACCCCTCTGAGTTAAGGACAAGACTCAGGACAGAGGAAGAGACAGAGTGAGAATTACAAGGCGTGAAAGAAGTAGATCCCTTCCTCCCATTTTGAGGCACCCTCTTCCCCCATCTAATTTCATTAGTGTTAGATCTCACCCTTAGCACGGACATAAGGATCTTCCTGGGGGCATTCAGAGATATTTACACATACCCCCAGCTTCCCAAACCCGATGCCAGACACCCCAACGTCCATGCTCATGGCACTCTAATTAGGATACCTTCCCCAAGGTAGAGAAACATGAGTCCCTCTTTAGCCTAAAGAGCTATGTCCAAGAAAAAGGGTTAATCATGGTCTGCCTCAGTTGGAGAGGCTTCACCACCTGCCTCGGAGGAACTATTGCTCTTGGACACAATCAGTACATACCATTGGTGTTCTAGTTTCCTGTCACCGGGCCTCCAGTCCCCCTCCTTCTCCATCTCCCAAAGTAGATAAGCCAGTTCTGTGGGGGTAGGGAAAAAACCCCTCCCATCATTCTTCTCTCTTCTGTTCCACCTCCCCCTGACCAGGAATGGTGTCAACCTCACATTATCATAGTGGACTCCCTCCTGACAATGGGAACTACCAATCAAAGTATCATAGATGTAGAACAGCAAGGGAAATTAGAAAAGGCCATCGAATTGAACCTTCCCATTTTACAAATAAGGAAATTAAGGCTCAGAAAAACTAAATGACTTGCTTGAGGTCACATAGGTTATAAGTGACACAGATGAAATTCAAACCCGAATCCTCCGACTCTAAATCCAGCACTTTCCCCACCATAATATGCTGCCTTTCTAAATTCAAAACTTTCCTTTACCCTAAGCCCTTTCTCATTCTAGAAGATCTATTTTCCCTCCTATAAGGAAGCTCATTCCCAGGCCTCTCCCTGCTGCTGACAGCCACCATGGCTGGTCAGATGGAACCTTCTGCCCCATACCTTGGGTAGCTGCTGGAGGATATTATAGGGCTTACCATGGGGAAGCAAGCACAGGAGAAGGGCCTGCATTCACTCAGAGGGAACTTTTTGCTCTGGGCACTCAAAGACCTTCAAACCCTGGTCCCAAACTACCTTTTCAGCTTTATCTCATGATGCTCTTATTTGGATACCCTGTGCTCTAGCTAACCTGGAATTCCTCAAAAGAGTCCCTATGCTTTACTACTTTCACAGATTTTCTTACCTTTGTTCCTTTTCCTTAAATGTTCTTACTCTTTTCTTTTCCACCTGTTGAAACACTATATTATCTTGCAAGGCCTCGACAAAATTACACATTTATCAGACTTTCTTAATCCTTCCAACTAGAAATAAGCTCTTCCTTCTCTGAGCTCTCAAATGGTATACTAGAAATAACACTGGCCTTTGAGTAAGGAAGACCTGTGTTCGTACCCCACTCCTGACACTTACTAGCTGTATGACTCTGAGTAAGTCACTTCACCTCAATCTGCCTCCATTTCCTCATCTGTAAAATAGTGATAATAATAGCATCTACCTCTTAGTGTTGTTTTGAGGATAAAATGAGATAGGCATAAAGTGCTTTGCAAACTTTAAGTGCTATAGGTTAGCTATTATTACAAGGTTGTTGTGAGACTCAGAATGTACGCACACAGCTTTGCAAATCTTAAAGCACTATATTCATGTCAGCTATTTTGTATCTCTCATGTACATATCATACTTTTATATAATTTATTTGCCTATGTTATAAGCCTTAACTCCAATATCATTATTCACTAATATTTACATAGTATTTTACATGCATTATCTCATTTGATCCTCAAAACAACCAACTGCATAATACAGGCAACCCAATCCATTTTACAGATGAAGAAACTAAGGCTCATTAGCTATGGTCACATAATTAATAAATGTCAAAGGCAGGATTTGAACTTGTTTCTCCTGACTCAGAGTCCATGTTCTTTCACTAGGCTATGCTGTCTTTCCAAATAAGTAACTAATAGTGGTGTAAATATCCTACTATCCAAATAACCATTTAACTAACACAGACTGAAGCTCCAACAGGCAGGTTTCCCTGGCATGCCCTAATTCCTTGGGAATAGCCTAGCCCCAAAAGAACAGAAATTCCCACCCCTTCCCCACAATGCACAACACTCTCATGAACTGGGGTCATTCTTCCTCTCACCCTAAGTACACATTTAGTTTCCAAGTATCAATCTTCTTCCATTACCCCAAATCTGGCAGTTCAGAAGGCAGTTACCCTAGGCCAAAAAACTTCAGCTTCTAAGGGAGAAAAGGGGAAATAGGGAGCTTAGAGCTAGAAGTGGTGGGGCCCTAGGGCTAAAGAGTGGGTTGGAAAACAGCAAAAGTCAAATAGTGGCTTTTCTTTTCCCTGAGGTCTAGTTCAGACCCACCCTGCTCACCTAGAAAAAACTGGTTCAAATGCCAGTGGCTGCCCATGAATTGGAGCCAGAAAGCCAAACCACCCCCCACGTCTTCCTGCTCTTTCTATAGATGGAAAAATGTAAGTTCTAGGAAGATCTGCTCTATTCCTGGAACATGGACACCCGTGTGTTGCCTCTGTCTTGAGTATCTGAAGAGTCCTTTTCATCCATGTGGGTAATGTACCCTATTCCCATTCCACTTTGATAACCTCTAAGCCTCAAACCTCTGAAACGCTCAGAATTGGGAGAGGGTGGGATTGTAGCCCTCTCTGGGAGCTTCCCTCACTTCTCACTCCACCTTTCCTCCTTTCAACTATACTCTCTCTTTCCCTAAGTCCCCCCTTTCCCACCATGGTCCCCTACATATCTTTCTGACCC